ATCCCTGGCACTCTCCCAGGCCAGGTTGGATGGGGTTTGGAGCAACCTGGGCCGGTGGGAGATGTCCCTGCCCATGGCAGGGGTGGGAATGGACCACCTGAAAGGTCCTTCCAACCCAACCCATTCCAGGGTTCTGTGATTAAGACTGGGGTGGTTGGACCCAGCTTGGAGGTGCTGAACCTCACCTGGATCACTGCTTGTTGGATACGATACAGCTCTGAGGTGCTTATCACTGATCCCTGGCACTCTCCCAGGCCAGGTTGGATGGGGTTTGGAGCAACCTGGGCCGGTGGGAGATGTCCCTGCCCATGGCAGGGGTGGGAATGGACCACCTGAAAGGTCCTTCCAACCCAACCCATTCCAGGGTTCTGTGATTAAGACTGGGGTGGTTGGACCCAGCTTGGAGGTGCTGAACCTCACCTGGATCACTGCTGGGAGTGTTGGATACAGCTCTGAGGTGCTTATCACTGCTTGGAGCAACCTGACCTAGTGAAAGGCGTCCCTACCCATGCCAGGAGGTGGAACTAGTTGACCTTTAAGGTCCTTCCAACCCAAACCATTCCAGGACTCTATGAATTACCTTTTGAACCTCCAAAACTTAAAGCTACTTCCCTTACTTTGCATTTTTGATGATTCAACACTCCTAGTGCCTCATGCTCCATATTCCCCTTCCTGAGTTTCCTGCTCTTCCAACCTGTACCCAAACCCTTTGATTACTCCTCCTAATCCTTGGTGCTGTTGTAGCATCCCCAGATGCAGCAGGAGCTCACCTGGAGTAGCAGGACAGGCTGGTGCTGAGCACAGTGTTCAGCACTGCCATGGGCACATAGCAGTGATGGAATGTGCTGTCGATCCATTCCTCTGGGAAGATGTAAGCTGAGTAAGCCAGGGCAGATCCTGGAAGCACAGGAGATGCCTGATTAGGTCCAGGTCCCACCACACCCTCAGCATCCTCCTGGGTGGAGCTGTGAAGCTTTGGATTGGGGCTTGGAATTTGGGACTCAAACAGGGACACAGGGATGGGGGTGGAAGAGTTGTGATGGGAGCAGCAGGTGGACACCCCAGCAAGCAGCACAACCTTTCCAGAGGATCTGGAGGAGTGTGGAGCCATGGGATGACCTTAGGTACTGCTGCTGCTTTCCCTGGACTTGTCCCTAGTGAGGCACCACCAACCTCACTGACACCATTTGTCCTAAACATGGATTTTTTTCCTTATTCTCTTCACTCCAAAGCCCAAGGAGTGTCACACACTCAGATCTTCAACCTGGGTATAAACCCCGCCCCCAGATTAGTGGTGGTAGTGTCAGAGGTCCTTCCCAAGCACCAGGCTGCAGGGGAGGAGGAGGAAGAGGAGGACTGGAAGTTACACACAATCCTTCAGCTCTGGATGAGGCACTTGGGGATCTGGTTTAGGGGTGAGGACATCACCTTGTTGGAGTCTAAATGAGGCACCAAGGTGATTATGGGGCTGGAGCAGCTCTGCTATGAGGACAGGCTGAGAGAGTTGGGATTTTTCAGCCTGGAGAGGAGAAGCTTGGGGTTGACCTAGTTGTGGCCCTCAAGGACCTGAAGGAGCCTACAAGGAAGATGGAGAAACTTTGGACGAGGGCCTGGAGGGACAGGATACAGGATATGGCTTCCCACTGGAAAAGCAGAGATTTAGATGGAATATTGGGAAGGAATTGTTCCCTGGGAGGTGCTGAGGCACTGGCACATGTTGCCCCGAGCAGCTGTGTCTGCTCCATCCCTGGGAGTGTTCCAGGCCAGGTTGGATGGGGCTTGGAGCAACCTGGGCTGGGGGAAGGTGTCTCTGCCCATGGGACTGGATGACCTTTAATGTCCTTCCAACTCAAACCACTCTGGGACTCTATGACTAAGGTGTCACTGCATTAACAATTGGACTTGATGATCCTGAAGGTCTCCTCCAGCCTTGCTGATCTCGATCCCCATCCAGATGGGTTCGAGCTGTGTGAGCCCCCAGGGAAGTTCTGGAGGCTCCCACCCCCTGAGTCCCTCACCCAAGCTGTACATGCTGAGTGCTGCGTAGTCAAAGAAGTAGCAGATGTGTCTGGCACGAGTGGACATGGTGCTGAAGGTGTGGGCACAGCTGGAGGCCAAGGGGTAGATGCAGCAGGTCAGCAGGTAGGCAAGGAGAGGCCAGGCATGAGGGTCCTCCTGTGCCTCTGGTCCCCTCAGCTGCCCCACCAGTGTCCACACGAAGTACCTGTGGGATGGAGGAAGGTGAACATCACCCTTGGGTGTCCCAGCCCTTCTCCCACCATGAAGAGCCACCAACTATGGCTGCTGAAGGCCCTACCAGGCAGGCACGAAGTGTGTCCAGATGTTGAGGGTCTCATTGGTCATCTGGAAGACGCTGAGGAGACAATCTGCTGCTGAGCTGCTGGGGGGGCGGTACCCAAAGAGGATCCCCTGCTCTTGGTACCCCTGCAAGGCAAGGAGCAGCTGGAGGCACTCACAGGAGGGACAAGGTGGAGAAGGAAGGATGGTTGTCAAAAGGAAGGTGCCCATCACTCAGGACTCATGAGCCAGGACAGAGCTGTGACCCCCCAGGAGGTGTCCACCCCCCCATGTTGCTCCTTTTTGTCACAGGATCATGTTAAGGGGTTGGGATGGACCTCAGAGATCATCCAGTCCCAACCCCTGCCCTGGGCAGGGACACCTCCCACCAGAGCAGGTTGCTCAAGGCTCATCCAACCTGGCTGTGAACACTGCCAGGGTTGGGGCAGCCACAGCCTCCCTGGGCAACCTGGGACAGTGTCTCACCACCCTCACAGGGAAAACTTCTGCCTAATATCTAATCTAACTTTCCCTCTTATAATTTCTCCCCATTACTCCTTGTCCTATCACTGCAGTTCCTAACCAAGTCCCTCTGCAGCTTCCCTGGAGCCCCTTCAGCTCCTGGCAGGTTGCTCTGAGGTCTCCACACAACCTTCTCTTCTCCAGGCTGAACAGCCCCAGGCCTCCTCTGGACTTGCTCCACCAGTTCCATATTCTTCTGCTGTTGGGGACACCAGAACTGTGTGCAGCACACCAGGTGGGATCAGAGCAGAGGGGGAGAATCACCTCCTTGGCCCTGCAACCACACTCCTTGGGACAGTCGAGGAATGGGTTGTCACCTCCCAAAATCCAACCAAGCCTTGAGTTTAGGGCAGAAAATCTCCTCACTGACCTTAGGCACTTGGTGGACACTGAGCAGTCGAGGCAACTTGAGGCTCAGCATGGTGTGGGTTAAGCTCCAGCTCCAAGGGATGTTTTCAGCTCAGCTTCCTTGGGGATGAGCCCCAGAGGCAGCTCACACCTCTCCTGGCCACATCTCACACCCCACAGGGGACAGGATTGGACTGGGACCTGGGATGGCTGAAGAGATGATCCTTGGGGTCAGGATGTGTAGCCTGGTGGGGACAAGGATTTGTAGTACAGTATTCCCAGTGGGATACCAACCACACACAGGGCAAATGGATCCTGGGGCTTCCCATGGGATGGGAGAGGGAATCCATCCCTTCTGAGGGTGCTGGGATCAATCCCTACTCCCTGTACCCAAAAGGGGCAGGGGGAGAAGGACAACACATCCCAGAGCCATTTCCCAGGGGCTCAGAGACTCCTCACCCCAGCAGATCCAGATGGGATGCAGGAACAGCTGCACATCCCTGGAGCAACTGGAGGTGCCAGAGACAGTCTTGGGGGGCCTCAGGGATGCAGAGGTGACACAGGATTCCAAGGCAGCACTGGAAATGGGTCACCTCTCCCACTCCCCATGGAATATCCCAGCAATTGGCACAGCTCCAGCTCTTACCTGCTGCTGCCTCTCCCACCTCCTCCTCCAGCCTGGAAATAAAGGTTGAAAACAAATTATCTCCTGTTTCCTCCTGCCTGGAGAGGGGGAAAAGGGCAGGAAGGGAGTCTGAACCACAGGATGTTGGTTCAGCACAACGATCCAGTGATCCAATGTAATCCAATCTGGTCCTACAGGACTCTGAGGTATCCAGAGTCTTCCAACCCACAGAGCCAGAAGGAAAAGCCTCCACAGCCTCCAAGGAGCAGCTCCTGGGTTGGCATTCCACCCACCTCAGCCATCCAGGACTTCACACTGGGATTCAGCCTTCCCTAGGCATTCCCAGTGCTGCAGCTACCCCCAACCCATCCCTTTGCTGCCCTTTCCCAGCCCCTGGAATCACCCTTGGCTTCCTCTGCTCTTCCTCCTCACCCATACTCTACCTCTCCCTGCAGCCAAGCAGCTCCAGTGGGAACAGCACAAGGAAACTGCCCTGGGAATGGGCAGGAGAGGGAGGTGACTTGGAGGTGGGAACAGAGGAGAAAAAATTAACGAGGCAAGAGAGCAATAAACCAACATCAAATCAAACTAGAAATGCCTTTGGTTAAAGATTACACTTGAATCAGAAGCTTTCCATGGGCTGTCGAGCTCCAAATGTGCTGCCTCAAAGCTATGTGGA